AATATATTTATATACATATAAAATATATAATATATATTTACATATACAAGGTTTGAATTTTTATATGTTTCATATTATATTGTATATAACATATATTATTATTATATATATTTTGTGCTCAAGAGTGAGGAACCCTGAAAAATACTGAGCTCTTTGTATATTTCTCATGAATTGCTCTGTCTGAGCCTGGAGACGACTGTGCATGAAGAACAAAGAAAAAGACATCGGAATTTCAGTGTCCTTGGACCCCCATTTTAAGAATGACTTCAACCATCCAGATTCCTCACCTTTGCCTTTTTTGCTTCTGTCAGTCTTGCCAAAAGGCCTGGGGTCTGAGGTAACTGAGGCTTCCTTCTTAGTTCCAGGTTCTTTTCCTCCATGGAGGCTGAGGGCTGGGAGACAAGGGCCCCAGCCCTGCCCTTCACGGGACACCTCCTGGTCCTCACCATGTGTCCAAAGATCTGACAACAGTTCTTGCACATTATCTGTGGGTCAAAGAGGAGAGTGGTCAGTGAGGCAGCATCAATCACTGGCAGTTTTCAAAGGTTACTATCAGGACATGCGTTTTGATTTGGGAATTGGGTTTTCTAGAGGGGACACAGACATATAACCTGCTAAGTGTCTGGAACATCGTGATACAATCAATAGTCATATCCACAACCCATTTTATTTTTTATATAAACACTTTTTTAAGTTTTTAATTAAATTTCAACTTATAACCCATTTTAAAGAAGGACACAAGGAGGAAAGATCAAAAGGTCTGAGGAGGATGATAATGGCTCAGCTGTCCTTATCAGCTCAGATTTTGGATGCTGAGCAAATTCCACGGGACCTATTGGGCTTCCAGGATAAGTGAGACAGGATGAGGCTGAGCGGAAGCTTCCCCCTCCAGCTGGACTTTTTATTGCCGGAGGAGGCCCCGCTCAAGCTTTGGAGCTCACCTCATCAGCTGGAGACAATCAACTTTGACTAATCACCAGCCCCCTCTGAAGATATAAAGAGATTATTTCCTGTTTCTTTTCCTTTGCATTTTAATTTCATTTTTATCTGTTTTTATTTTACCATACATCTGATATCAACATTATGATAAGTCTCATTTCCAAGCATTTAAGATAATTTGACATATATGTACATATTTTAAAAACTACATATTACTTTCTGCAAGTGCAAGATATTCATACACACCATAGACTGTTTAATTCTGTATCATGACTTTACTCTCAACTGTTTCTGAAGAATCTCCCTTTCACACATATATCTGTAGTTCATTCTGTTTCACCACTGTTTGCCATATACTTGGGCCAACAGACTGGACTTTTGGTTTTTCTCTCTGATCCTATCATGGGCATTTATGTTGTTTCTAATATTTTCCTTCCACTGGAAATGCTGCCACAAACATACCTGGGCCATGTTCTTGTTTGCTATGAATTTCCCTGTTGCTATGAACAGAAAGTGAGGAACCAAGTTTCTGGATCATGGCTTTCAGGAATCTTCATATGTAGTGGCCATATTGTCCCCTGACGTGGGTAAGCCAATCACACCCACACTAACCCGGGAAGAGAGTCTTCAGTTCCCCACATCCTTGGTACACAGGTTAACGTTGGAATTTGTACTAATTGTATGCATGTGAACTGGTGATGTTGTTTGTTTATTTCCATTTGTTTTGTTGTCAGCAATGCTGTATGTGTGTAACATAATATCATATTCATTACAGGCTTACTAACCCATGAACTGTTTTTTTCTTTATTTCTTTTTCTTTTTAAAAAATGTTTTAAAACGTTTATTTATTTTTGAGACAGAGAGAGACAGAACTTGAGCAGGGGAGGGGCAGAGAGAGAGGGAGACACAGAATCCGAAGCAGGCTCCAGGCTCTGAGCTGTCAACACAGAGCCCGACGCGGGGCTCAAACTCACAGACTGCAAGATCATGACCTGAGCCGAAGTCGGCCCCTTAACTGACTGAGCCTCCCAGGAGCCCCTTAAATTTCTTTTTAAATTCACTGTGGAATGTCTTTCTTTCCTTTTAATGGGTAGACATTAATTTTTATATATTGTGGATATATTTCTCTCTGATGGGACTTGGAAGTATGTGCTTCAATTTTGTAACTAGTCTTAAACTATATTTTCAGAAAGAATGCATCAGTTTTAGTTATATAGTAAGTATTAGTAATGTAGGAACTTTATTTACACCCTAATTAAAAAAACAATTAAAAAATGTTTTTGAGTAATTTGAGGGTTGGGAGCCATTCTGAACTCACTAGTTGAGAAAACTCCTTGTAAGGTTAAGGCAGGTTTCCAAGGCCTCCTGCTGTCAGATGATGACCGATATCCACCCCCACTAAATTGTTTCTGCTTGAGCACCGACCCACAAGGCACCTTGTTGATTGGTATCAGGAGTGTCTTGTCCCATTATTCTGGCCCTGATATACTGATTGCACCTTGTGAAGGAACTTCTTGTAGGAATTTCTTCTTTTGTGATTATAGGATCAAACATTGCATTTCCTGAAAATCCTGTTTTTTCCCCTTAAGCAAACAGGCTATTGACCCCTGGTCTCAAAGGACTAACTTTTGCCTTTGCTATGCTAAAATCATTGTTTTGTTTGTATTTGAATGCTAAAGATACCTTACTTTCCCATATGATAAACATCTAAATCACCTACATCAATCACTATTGATAAAGGTTATGCATGAGTCTTATACAAATCTATGTTTTGGGAAATTTTTACATATCAAAGAAATTTGTCATCAAAAATCATTGTCTAAGACAAATGCCACTTCTGTCCTGTTCCCCATACACTTAACCATAAATAAAGCTAAGTCTCAGTCAGTGCAGAGATGCTGCCTGGTGACCAGAAAGAATCTTGCGGCTTTCTAATCCCTCTCTCGCCGACATCATCCATCCTTCAGGGACCCCTGGACCAGCTGGAGCTGGACTCCGGCATTTGAGAGAATGTGAATATGAACTGGGTATTAGATGATTATGAAATTTAAAAATAGAGGTGCCTGGCTGGCTCAGTCAATAAAGCATGTGACTCTTGATCTCGGGGTTGTGAGTTCAAGCTCCAGGCTGGGTGTAGAGATTACTTAAAAGTGAAGTCTTCAGGGGTGCCTGGTTGGCTCAGTTGGTTAAGCGTCCAACTTCAGCTCAGGTCATGATCTTGTAGGTTGTGAGTTCGAGCCCAGTGTTGGGCTCTGCACTCAGAGCTCGAAGTCTGGAACCCCACCCCCCTGTTTCTCCACCGCTCACGCTCTGTCTTTTGCTCAAAAATAAATAACCATTAAAAAAGCTTTTTAGGGGCGCCTGAGTGGCTCAGTGGGNGTAAATTCCTAGCAGTGCTATTGCTGGGTCATAGGGGAGTTTTATTGTGAATTTTTTCAGGAAGCTCCACACCGTTTTCCAGAAGGGCTGCACCAGTTTACATTCCCACCAACAGTGTAGGAGGGTGCCCGTTTCTCCACATCCTCGCCAGTATCTAAAGTCCTCTGATTTGCTCATGTTAGCCACTCTGACTGGCATGAGGTGGTATCTCAGCGAAACCACTGACACATTTTGAAGTGGACTTAATAAACACCAACACCTTATTTTCTTTAATTGTCTGAATGTTTGAAATTACCATATTAAAAGCTTTAATGAGGGCGCTTGGGTGGCTCAGTCAGTTAGGCTCAGGTCATGATCTCAGGGTTGGTGGTTTTAAGCCCCATATGGTGCTTAGCACTGTGAGTGGGGAGTCTGCTTGGGAGTCTCTTTCTAGCCCTCCCCCAACTGGCATGCATGTTCTTTCTTTCTCTCCCTCAAAATAAATAATCTATTAAAAAGGATTTAAAAATCTTTAATGAAAATAAATCAAGGGGTACCTGGGTGGTTCAGTCATTAAGTGTCTGACTTTGGCTCAGGTCATGATCTCATGGTTTGTGAGTTCAAGCTGCTGCAATGGGCTCTGTCTTGACAGCTCAGAACTTGGAGCTTGCTTCAGATTCTATGTCTCCCTCTGTCTCTACCCCTCTCCCACTCGCACTCTGTTTCTCTGAAAACTAAATAAATTTTAAAAAAAAACTTTTTTTAAAATATTTTTTTATTTATTTCTATGAGAGAGAGAGACAGCATGAGCAGGGGAGGGTCAGAGAGAGAGGGAGACACAGAATCTGAAGCAGGCTCCAGGCTCTGAGCTGTCAGTCAGCACAGAGCCTGACGCGGGGCTCGAACCCACAAACCGTGAGATCACGACCTAAGTGAAAGTCGGACGCTTAACCGACTAAGCCATCCAGGTGCCCCCAAAAAAAACTTTTTTAAAAAGGAAAATAAATCAATATCGGGGAACTATCTCCACGATTAATTATTTTTCGTTCATTGCTGGTTTCACTTTTATCTAAAGATGTGGTATTTGTCAGATGTACTCATTGACTTGTTGATGTGTCTACAGTGACATCCAGTCCTTAACGATCCAGGGCAGAGCTCAGGTTCTCTGTGGCCAAGAATGGGAACACAGGAAAGAAATACTCCGTTTGCATCGAATGGGTCTGGTAGATTTTTTTTTTAAGTCCGATTTTCCTGTGACTTAAACAAAATGAAATTACCTGTGAGAAGAATACTGACAATACATGTTTTCCAGTGATATGGAAGAAACCTTTCTAATGAGCCTACTAATCCCTGTACTCTTGGGAAGAAAGAACACAAATCCATCAGGGTCCTAAATAGTCCTGGGTGGGAGCTGGACCAGAAGTAAGACAGGGAGAGGTCCCGCTTTTTGACACCACGACAGGACCCTGCAAAAGTCTCCCCTTAGCTGAGGGGGCCTCCCCATTGGAAGCACAAGTGGTTGGCCACGTACCATCTCTCCCAAGAGCCAAGGTTCCCCTGAGAGGCAGGAAGGTGGAATTTTTCCAGCCAATAAGAGCGAGCCACGCCCTGCGGAGGCGCCTATAAAAGGCAGGTCCCACTGGCCAGTGTGCACTTGGGAGTCCCGGCGGTGCAGGGAGACGGGCCACGCCGTGGGCTTCAAGATGGACTTGGGAACTGAAGGCTCGGACCCCCTCAGCTCCTCCGAGCGACACCCCACTGACCAGCCGCCCTGCCAACAGAACTCGTTCACAGAAGGCGGCTCACATGTGGAGGAGAAACCACTGGAAGGCAAAGAGGAGACATTATCGTCCCCGCTGAGAGAGAGTCGCACCCAAAGGCGAGGTAGGGATGCGGGTGGTTTGTGTACGGGGGCTGGAAGGAGGGGTGGGGGTCAGGGTTTTATGCGGAGGTCGGTCCGGATCTAGATCCCTAGATCACCCAGCCCTAGGGAGGCTTTGACAAATGGGGCAGTGATCCCCTGGAACCAACTAGCTTGGTTCACCTTGGCCCCCGGCTGAACAGCCTCTGTCGAGAGAACCGTCCACAGGCTGGGATCAGGGCCGGGCTAGGGCTTCTGTGGGCCTCGCGAGAGGCCACGCGCCCAAACCGCCCCTTTTCCTCCAGGGTCTGACGCCAAGACGGATGAGGAGGATTCCAAGGAAAGCGAGCTCAGAAGAGACAGCTGCATTTCCGGATCAGGTGAGAGCTGGTTTTCCGGAGGGGGGTGGCGGGGGGGGGGGCAGAGGACGTGGGATAGCTCGGTCTCCCCGCCAGGGACCTGGGAGCCCTGCGGCACCCTTGCAGCTCCTGGGCTCGAGGAACGGCTGGGAACCTAGTCTTGGCGGCCAGCGCTGGCCCTTGCGTGTCCAGGATGGACTAGGGCGTCGAGGGGGCCGGGCTGGACGCCGTCACAAAACTCTGGCTTTGTCCGCAGAATCCGAAGGCTGCTCCAGTTGGGAGGGCTCCGGGAAGAGGAAAATCCCTTCCAGCGACGGCACCAGCCCTGCAGCAGGTGGGATCTTGCTTTGGGGCCCGAGGTGCGCACAGGGAGGTCAGATACGCGGGGCGCGGGCACGGAGGGTTGTTGAGCGGCTGAATCGGGTTAGGAGACCCGGAATCCTGGGAGCTCTGGGGGGTCCTTGGTGGGCCTGGCATCGCCTCATCCCAGAGCTGGGGCGGGAAGGCGGAGGAGACAGGCGGGGTTCACCCGAGGGAGTGGGGGTGCCCTGGATCCCAGCTGGCGGGGCGCTCAGCCACGTGCGTCCTCCGCAGGGGCCTCTCCGGCAGACGAGCGCGGTGTGACTCCGGGAAAGAAGACACGGAGGACGCCGGGCTCGAGCCAAGGCAGCGACGGCGAGGAGCCCGCGGATGCCCAGCGCAGGAGGCGCGGGGCGCGGGGCGCCGGGCGCGGCCGGCGGAGCAGGTGCAGGTCCCCAGGAGGCCGGCCGCCCCCACTGCGGAAGAGGCTGGTGACCGCCGTGCGCGCCCTGTCCGAGGCCGTCTATGAGGACGTGGCTGCGGTGTGGGAGCAGCAGGGCCATTGCCCGCTGACCTGGGAGCGGCGCTCGCGGCTCGGGCAGCTCTGGGAGCCTCTGTGCGCGGCCTTGCAGACCGTCTACACCATGGCCAACCAGGCGGCCTACGTCTTCCCTGCCAAGAGCTGGCTCGTCCCCGCCCCGCCGCCGGCCCCCCGGCCTCCAGCTGGGGATGGAGGAGAAGCCCGGGGCTCCCCCAGGGAGGGACACGGGGCCCCCCCTCCCGGGGTCGGGAGCTAGGCTGCCCGCGCTCGGTCAGGCACCCGCGCTTCCGCAGAGCTGGGCGCGCAGCCCGGGGGGGTGAGAACACAGCCCTGCTTCCGCTCAGACCGCAGATAGCGCGTGTTAATACGCGATAGGACTCGGGGTGGTCGGAGGAAAGGTACTGCAGACACGGAGCGGGAGTTGACGTTTCAATTTCATGTTGCACGTTGTCGTGCGTTTTGAGTATCTTAGGACAGCCAAGCATTGTTTTATGATGAGAAGAGGCATCAGGATAGAATTCCTAGGTTGTTGCTAAAGTCTAGCAAAGTGAACATACTTCTGTCCTCCTCTTTGATCCTGAAAAGGCGCTAAGTCTTGGGTCTCTTGCCTCCAGTTTTGGAGGACTGAGGCCACAGGCCTGGGGTAGCGTCTGTGTGGAGAGATGGTTGTGTTGTTCAGTGTGATGAAGTCACGGTGAAGTCATCATGTCCTTTTCCTTCACTTTTCAGTTACTTCATATGAAATATTGGTGTTACTGACCATGTTCCTGTATTTATTCTTACAGCTGGCTCATATGCTAAATTTTAAATTTTCTTCTATTTATAGATTTCATGTTAACCTGTTTATGAGAGGATATTAAATCTAATATGGATACTGTCATTTTATATATACTTTATATAGTTTCCTATTTGTACTTTTCACTGGGATCATGCAGGCTTTCATCATATAAATGTGTAGAATTTTATGTAAGCAAAGTAAATATATTTGGGCACTGTCTTGCCCTTTTCTTCATAATTTCCATATAACATAGTGATCAAATAAAAATTAATGCTTCTCATGGATTGTGTGTCTTAGATAATTTTATATTCATCCAGATGGAGTTTGTTTTATGGGAGGTGAGGGTTAGGAAAGAGGCTGTTTTCTTTTCACCTCTACCTCACTTCCACGTTGACTTTCCTACACCTAGCAGCTCTTATTGTAGGCTGGGAGAGCAGTTAATCATCCCATCGAATGGAATAATTCATGATAATATATTATAAATCCATTTGAACACATGTCATGGCTCAAGTGCCTGCATTTGTATAAAAAATTACAATTTGCAAGTCATATTTGGGGATTGGGGGTGCAATTAAAAAAGGATGAAAAATAAATTTTAACGTAATAAAATAATACAAGAAAATACCTGGGAACAAATCCAATAAAAATGTATCAAAAGTGTATGAGAAACTGTATAAAATTTCTGAAATATATGAAAGTAGACATAAACTGGGGCGCCTGGGTGGCTTAGTCGGTTAAGCATCCGACTTTCGCTTGGGTCATGATCTCGCGGTTCGTGGGTTCGGGCCCCGCATCGGGCTCTGTGCTGACTGCCAGCTCAGAGCCTGGAGCCTGTTTCAGAGTCTGTGACTCCCTCTCTCTCTGACCCTCCCCTGCTCACGCTGTCTCTCTCTCTCTCCTAGAAATAAAGACATTTAAAAAAAAAAAAAAGAAAGTAGACATAAACAAATGAAGAAGTCATATCATTGTTCTTGGGTATAAAAACTCCCAATTAGCAAATATCAATTGTCCATAAGGTAAGTATTAAATTTAATTCATTTCTGATACAGATACCACCAGTTACTTATTGGAGCTAGTCAAGTTATTGCAAAAACAAACAAACCCTATTACTGGGTCTCCTGGGTGGCTCAGTTGGTTGGACTCTTGACTTCGGCTCAGGTCTTGATCTCATGGACTGTGGGTTTGAGCCCTGTGTCGGGCTCTGTGCTGACAGCTCAGGGCCTGGAGCTTGTTTTGGATTCTGTGTCTTCCTCTCACTCTCCCCCTCTCCCACTCACCCTCTGTATTTCTCTCTCTCTCTCTCAAAAGTAACCACTAAAAGAAATTAAAAATCCTACAGCTGAAAATACAAATAAAAATATGTAAGAAAACTCTGAAAAAAAAATATAAACTTTTAGTTAAGCAAGATGAGTAAGCTCCAGAGATCTTCTGTACAACACTGTACATATAGTCATCAATGTATTTGTACACTTAAAAATCCATTAAGTGTATAAATAATGGGCGTCTGGACAGGCACCCCACTATTTACAGAACTATTAACAATAGTCAAATTAAACATTAACAATAGCCCAAATGTCTATCGACTGATACAGGATAAAGAAGATGTGGTATAATTATACAATGGAATTTTGCTCCGCAATAAAAAAGAATGAAATCTTGCAATTTGCAACAATGTGGATGGAACTAGAGTGTATCATGCTAAGCAAAATAACTCAGTCAGAGAAAGACAAATATAAGATTTCACTCACATGTGGGATTTGAGAAACTTAACAAATGTATAGGGGAAGGTAAGGAAAAATAAGATAAAAACAGAGTGAGGCATACCATAAGAGACTCTTAAATACAGAGAACAAACAGGGTTGCTGGAGAGGAAGTGGGTGGGGGGGATGCGTTTAACGGGTGATGGGCATGAAGGAACCACTTTTTGGGGGTGAGCACTCGGTGCTATATGTAAGAGATCAATCACTGGGTTCTACTCTTGAAGCCAAGACGACACTGTAGCTTAAATACCTTGAGTTTAAATAAAAAAATAAAGAGGGGGGTGACTGGGTGGCTCAGTTGGTTAAGCATCTGACTTCAGGACAGGTCATGATTTCACAGTTTACGAATTCAAGCCTGCTTTGGTCTCTCTGCTGTCAGTGAGGAACTCACTTCAAATCCTCTGTCCCCTTCTCTTTTTGCCCCTCCCCAGCTCATTCTCTGTCCCTCGCTCTCAAAAATAAATAAAAGAGTTACAATAAAAGAGAAGAACATGCCAATGATAATTTACATCAGGGATCACTGGATTTGTTTGCACAAGTCAGTGACAATACATTTGGAAATGTAGATGATGTGGAAATTTGTTAGGAATATATGCTTTACCAATACTGATCTCTCTAGTGTTAACAGGAAGTCTAAACAGAACAATATCTACAAAAAGGGAGAAGTTTCTGAGACCCTCGCAAATAAAAGCACCAGGTTCAGATGGTGAAATGGGTAGATTCAATAATTCCTCTCTCAGATAAGCCAATACCCCTTTAAATTAATTTAAAAAATTTTAAATTTAATTTGAGAGAGAGAGAGAGAGAAGAACACAAATGGGGGAGGGACATAGAGAGAGGAAGAGAGAGAATCCCAAGCAGGCTTTGGGCTGTCAGCACAGAGCCTGACATGAGATGAACTGTGAGATCATGACCTGAGGTGAAATCCAGAGTTGGACACTTAACCAACTGAGCCACCCAGGTTCCCCAGTAGTCATTTAAATAGCAGTGGGTAGTTACCACATCTTCCCAAACCTGTACTTTTGATGAGTTTTCAGTGGTCAGCTCTGATTACCTATTATTAAGAAACATGAGTTCAAATTAATCCTTTGTTTTCCTACCCCCAAATACACAATCAAATACTCCCCATATCCAAGTCAGACACTAGAACCATAATGGTGGACAACCCTTAGTTCACAAATACAAATACAGAAACATTACACACTGATGCAAACACACGTGCATATGCACAACATACACTCAAATGCACAGCCATATACATTTACACACTCACTCACATACACTCCAAACTCACACTCACACCCATAAAATACAAGCACAGTCACATTTACACACACTCGCCTGTACTCCTACATTCCCAGTTCCATGTATGTAATTACATTCAAACAGTCTTCATGCACATATGTATCTTTTTTTTTACGAACCAGAAAAGAATGTTATTTATTTTTTTTTATTTTTTATTTTTTTATTTTTTTTACAAATAGTTTATTGTCAAATTAGTTTCCACATAGCACATATGTATCTTGACAATGTGCTCACCTATGGGAAGAATACAGGACTCTCCAGTCCTTGGATGCCTGACAGTGGGGGCACTTTCCACCTTTTTCAATTCTTCCATCCCTGTAACAGCCCCAAAGATGATATTTACCACATGCAATATCTTAAAGTGCTGTGAGCATTGCCATTGCAGGGGCAGGCGAATGGGGCAGAGTTGGAAGGTTATAAGCATGTGATAGAGAAGGGTCCAAATGAGGCCAGGGGGATGGCGTTATAGGTCGTGTGCAGAGAGCATGGGAGGGAGGAGGATCAGATGCAAAACTCTTCAAAGGCAAATAAGGCCATAATACTTGATAAACACAGATAGGTACAGAAAAGTAGGGGGGAAAGGCTAACATGAACCCTGAAGTACGAGACAGAGTCAAGGACATCAGGATGAGCACATATACAGCTGTAAACACACAAGGAAAATCACTAGGAAAAATAACTCAGTAAGCTAATAGGGTATAATAATGATATACAAAAAAAATAAATAAAAAAGAAAGAAAAAGGGCTCAATAAATAAATAAATAAATAAATAAATAAATATCTTTAAGATAAAATGAAATAAACCAACTAGGAATGAACCTAACAAAAATGTGTAAAGCCATTATGTAGGAAAAAATAAAACATTCCTGAAATATATGAAAGTAGAAATAACTGAACGTAAATTTACATCATATTCTTCAGTAGAAAAGCTAATTATAAAAGGTCAATTTTCCTTATGCTAATTTATAAATTTACTTGGATCTTGATATTGTTACCATCAGTTAGTTTTTCGAATTAGCAATGTTACTGCAAAATATAAAAGAATAATGAACAAATAAGAAGAGTCACAAAAACTCTAAAAAACCCCCTCAATATGAGTATGGTTATCCTTCTGAGATGTTTATTTATGAACAGACTATTAGATCAGTGAAGTCAAAAATTGAGAAGTATGCCAAAGTGGACAAGAAAAGTTAATTACCAGCAAAAGCTCAAGTGGGCATAACATCAGTGACACTTAGCATTTGGGAAATGGGAATTCCTATTAAAATGACCATAAATAGTCTTTTCTTTGCATCCCTCAACAAGATAAAGGTCAAACAAAAGAGAAGTCTGTAGGGTATAAAATAATTAAAACATGGTTAAATTCAAGACTAGCTTCTCTCTTTCAATAAATTTTTCCTAAAAATCTAATTTTCAAGCATAAAATAGTCTTCCAAAATAAAAGAGAACAAAGATTTTTAAAAATTTAAATTGCAATGACATTTAGCAATTAAGAGATTCATCAATATACGGGTGCACCTGGAAGTTCTCAAAGGCGTTTAAATTTATAATTCTTCACAGGAGGTGTGGATTCGAATACCAAATTTAAAGAGAAAAATTAATGAACACCACAGAGGGAGAAATTTTTGTTCCTTTAAAGAAAAGTGGCAGCCCTCCGCCCCCACAGCTAGGGCCTGGCGGGGAACTTTCTAGAGAACGGAGAGCACAAATGATAATTCAGTTAAAAGCTTTGATGGCGAGTTGGTACCGAACTGCATATTCCCCACAGGACAGTTTTGTATTTCGCATTCTGGCGTCCATCACCGACGCCGGTCACCACGGCTTTTGCTTCATTAAACAAGGAGCTGTCACTGACCGGGTCTCCGTCGCCCCACGAGGGCCCCCAGCCCCCGCACCGCTCCGCCTCCCGCGCTGGAGCGCGCCTCCACCGCTCTCTAAATTTTCCCCGGGAACCACGGTCAACTTGTGAAACTCCGCGGCTCCCAACAGAAGCGGCCCACCCTTCCCAGCCTGGCTCTAAACGACAGCAGCGGGATTGGAAAGAAACCAAAAGCGGAACCCGAAACCGCCGGGCAGGAAAGACAAACAGGACCAGAAGCCGGACCTAGCAAGGTGCTCGGAGAAAGACCCAGAGCAGCCCGGCCCCGCCCGCGCCTTCGCCCGCGCCCTCCTTCTCGTTCACGCCCGCGTTTCCGTAGGCCGCCTCGGCCCCGCCCCGAGATCGCCCCCCTCGTGCGTCTCTACGCACGCGCATGCGCGCTTTCCTGCAGACCCGGAAGCGGATCCCGCGGAGCGGCGGGCGAGTCTCCAGTTTTGTGCTTTTTGCCCTGGAGGCGTTCGGAGTCCCCGCCTTCACATCCAGATTTCGGGCGTCGCCTGGGAAGGTAAAATCCTTGAACCCCCTCACCCCTCTCGCTGGGAGTTCGTCCCTTTCGCCTCTCGCGGCGCGGCCAGAGACGTTCCGAATCCTGTAGCTCGGTGAGGGTCCCGGGCGTCTGCGTCGTTTCCGGTTAAAATCTCTCTGAGGCAGGTTCTGGCCGAGCTTTTCTGCCTCTGGCCCTAGCAGACCCCAGTCGCCTTGCGGGTCTTTTTCCTGCTCAGGATCTTTCTCTGACACCTGAGTCTCTCCCCTGCCCCCAATCCCCAGCCGCGTCGGGAACAGTAGTCACTTGGAAGGTGGATGCAGGCCCTTTGGTCCACTGCAGAGAAGGCAGAGTGGGGACAGAGATGCTGGGAAAGACGCAGAAATCTGCAGCGTCAGAGGGTCATCAGAAACTGGGGGAAATGAAGGGGGGGAAAAGAATGGAGGCAATTGAAAGAGGCTGCAGCAGAGTAGGGTCAAACTACTGGAGGAGAAATAGCGAGGGAGGGACATAGAAATGGACAAAAAGAAGACAAACAAGGACACAGAGAGACTTAGAGAACAAAACACGTAGTAGGCTGAGACGTAGCACAGGACCCAAACCTAGGTGAGCACTGAATTGATTGGATATGTGGTATTACGTTGTAAAGTACGGACTTGTGGCGCTATGACGTCGTTCGTCTCAAATTTGCTGAATTTTTTCAGTTATGCAGAAGAGATTGAAAGTTGTGAAATCCTGGTGTTTGAGGCATCTGCACTAAGTGTTGCATCAGAAGATAATTCCATTTGCAACCTCTGTTCATCTAGAGATCAGAGACCGATCAGGCAGTTGATGGGGGAAGCCTTTCTGTACCACATGGTGCTTTTTTCAGTGGCCATTGTTAACAGTACGGTTGCCTTCTCCTTTTTTTCGTGGCTCATGGCATTCTTTTCTAAATTTGATGTATGCCCACACTTGTTTTTTCTTTAATCTCAGAATCCACTGGATAGCTTTTTAATTTCCAAATTATTTTCCCTCTTAATTTTATTGTTCAGATTATGAGTTTCACATGCTGTCTATTCTATCGTATGTTGGAAGTATTCTTTGATGTCTGTTAAGGAACTTTATAGTATTTCAATACACATTCATTAGGGATGTTGATATTCTTTCAACATTCAAAACTTAGCTTATCTGTTAATATTCAACAGTTCTCTTTCCTTACATTATGTTTTAAATTACCAAGTGCTAAGCCGAAATCTCCAACTAAGTAGATGTTTCTCTCAAGTCCCCTTTGTGTTTCCTGAACAGATGTTGAAGGATGGGCTGGCTTGATGTGGAACTTTGTTCCAGCAGAGCCCATCTGTTCATGGTACAGAGATTGCTCGGAGCTCATCTCCACTGGTGACACTTTTTCATGTTTTCCTGGACTAATAACAATTTGTAATTTCATATAGTTCTGGAAAAGACAAGTTAAATGCTTGGGTTTGATTAAACCCGTGAAAGAGAAGCTTCTCTTGTTGAGGAATATGAACGGCAATCTGGAATTAGAACAGCCCTTTCTACTTAAGCCTGTCCAGGCCACCATTTCAGAATTTACTTACACCCAGTTCTGCTCACTCTACTCAGACTTCTTAAGGATAACTTGGTAAAATTACTCCCCTCGGAGCCCCAGTGCACCCCTCTGTAACATGAAACAATAGACCAAGAATTCTAAACCTGAACTAATAAGATCCCTGAAATGATTTTCAAAGTTGGGCATGGGTTTGTCTTTGGCAGTTTTCTGGGAGAGGGTGTGCAGTTATATATAATTGGAGTTTACAGAGTGACCCAGTTCCCAAAATAATGAAAACCACTTAGAGTGAGGCAGGAGCATAGTCTTAGAAAGAGAGACATGTCTCTTTCAACTCCACCCTGTCTGTGTATCATAGCTAAATCTTAAAAATTTGATAGTGTCACCTTTTAACATTAAACCTTCTTATGGCTAACCATCACCATCAGGACAAAGATCTAAACTCTCAGTGTGGCTACCAGGGAGTTCTGGAGCTCCGGTGGCCCTTAAGAGTTGGTCCAGATTGATGGAATAGACAGACTTCTGTGTCCTGCATCAACCATTCGTTGGATGCTGGCTGCCTAGGGAGGGGCCAAGAACTGGAATGAAACAATTCCCTTTGGTCCAGTTCCAGAATAATGTGGAGTGTAGAGTGTGTAGGTTTCAGAAGGAGGGAAGGGCTTTCTGAAGGATTGGGTGAAAAATGCACTTGTTGGACTCCATATAGGACTTTATTGTCCCTGCTTGCATCCTGTTGTAATGGGCAGCAAAGAACTCTCTTTCTCCCATAGTGAGGTTCTCTCTATATATTGTGGCAGAGGAAGGGGTTATGTTATGTTGATTCTAAGCATTAAACAACATGCTTTTGTCACAGAATATAACCTTACGTGAGAAGAAGACCAGAAAAAGAGGGGGGAAAAAGGAGGAATGGCTCTTTTCCAGGTAAAAGTCACGTATTTCATTCATTGTTCTTCTTCCTAAACTGTCACACTTTGGACTTGTTACTCTTCTGTGTCTCAGAGGTGTCCTGCCTACGGTATTTACTCACCCCCAGAGCCCTCTCCCAGTCTCCTCCCATCTCCATGCAGATTCCATCTCACTGTGACCCAGTGACATGGAACGTGGGAAGATGCTTCTTTTATGTGGTCATGCTGTGAAGGATTTTCTTCCCAGGTAAGGACTGGAGGTGGGGAGTAGGCTCTGTGGTATCCGTGAGGTTGGGCTGTAAGGATTCCTCAGAGACCCCTTCTGGATCCCTTTCAGTTCATAGAAACCAGGATTAAAGAGATTACTATGTAAGTAATGTATTAATGTGCACAGGTACCTGAGAAACCCTGGCAAATAAGAGTAATGGGGGAAATTTGCTTTGTCTGATTTTACAGTGCTGTTTGACATTAAACAAGGGAATCTGTGCTTCTAACTACAAAACATTAATATTTTGGAATAGAATGGGAAGTTCAAAGTAGGAATAAGGAATATAGAGAATGTTTTAATTAACATAATTAGTTTTAAAGTGTAGAATCAACCTACTTCTATAATACTAAGTGTTCTTCAAATTATTTATAGCACATCCCTCTCTAAAGACCATGGTGTTCTTTTAGGAACTCTTACACAGTGCACATCTTTTAGATAGAAATGTTTATAACTTAGCCAGACATAAGAGCAGAATTTTCTGTCATCAGAGAGACTAGTGCTCAATTTTCTTTTTATGAATTGTTAAATGTTGTTGTTATTATATTTTTGTATTAAACCCCCCTACTACATATTTTTGTGGTTCACTTCCACATGGGTATGCATTTTAGAAACTAAGAAGTAAAATACCCCCTTACCTGTCTTATTTTCCACCGTCACTGATTGTCTTCATCAGGAAGTGATGTTCTCGCTAGTGCAAATCAAAATGCATTTATATATTGTAATGTGATTTTAGAAAATATTCTTCCATAAATGTGTTGTCATATTTTATTCTGCAAAATTGGAATATTTACATACCATATGTTTTTATGTTGCACTCATGTTCGTAAACATAGAGATTACTGCCTTTTTTTTGGATCCTCATTGGAACATTCTCTAAGTGAAGATATGTGATTCCTTTACAATTTCTTACTGTTACAAAATGCCATGGTGGCTGCTTCTGAGTAGGCTGACTTCACTACAGATATCTAAGGATGTCTTATGAAAGTACACCTTAAGCATGGTCAGTTTTTTTTAAATGATTTTTATTTCTGAGAGAGAGAGAGACAGAGAGAGAGACAGTGTGAGCAGGGGAGGGTCAGAGAGAGAGGGAGACACAGAATCTGAAGCAGGCTCCAGGCTCTGAGCTGGCTGTCAGCAGAGAGCCTGACGCAGGGCTTGAACCCACGAACCCTGAGATCATGACCTGAGCCAAAGTCGATGCTTAACCCACTGAGCCATCCAGGCGCCCCCAGTCAACTTTAAGACAAAGAGAATGTAGAAAGTAGCAAGACAGAAAAAACTTCTCGTGTACAGAGATTCTTAATAAGTTTAATGGCCTATTTCTAATCAGAAACTGTGGAGGTGAGGAAGCATTCTCGTGATGTATTTAAAGTTTGAAAGATTAAAAAACAAATCTATGAGGAGTTCGTTACCAGGCAAGCTATGCTTCAAAACTGATAGTGTAATTAAGAGACTCCTATATGAACAAAAGCAAATGGAGTTCACACTTATAGACTTAGCCTACAGGAAATACCAAATGGACTTCTTTTGGCTGAAAAGGATGGAAACTAGCAGTACCTCAAATCTATAGGAACAAATGAAGAACACTAGTAAAGGTAACTACATGAGTAAATACAGAATCCAGTATTATTATATTTTTGTTTTCTAACTCATTTTTTCCTACATGTCTTTTTTTTAATAGTTTATTGTCAAGTTGGTTTACACATAACACCCAGTGCTTATCCCAACATCTTACACGTCTTAAAAGACAAATGTGTAAAACAGTAAGAAAATCTGCATTTGAGTGAATAAAACATCTGCTCATTTGTTATAAAGTAGTAGTTTTTGACAATAACAACATACAGGGAGACTGTATAGCAACTGTTGTATGCTATTAAAGGTGAGTTAGTGTCAACTGTAAACTGTAATCCCCAGGATAACCACTCAGAAAATAACCTGAAAATAGACAGAAAAATAAATATAACGGCAATCAAAATGTTATACACACACAGATATAGACACCCAAAGAAGGGAGGAATTATGAAACAAAATATTAGACATACAAACAGCAGATGTCAGAAGTAATTCTCACCAGTAGTAACTTGAAATCTGCATAGATTAAACTATTTAATAAAAGACAAAGGAATTAGGTTTTAAAAATGATTCCACTCCATGTCTATAAAAGGCGCACTTTATTTTTTTGAAGTCTTTATTTATTTTTATGTTGAGAGATTCAGTGGGGGAATGGCAGAAACAAGGAGAGAGAATATCCAGCAGGTTTCACAGTGTCTGCGCAGAGCCAAATGCAGGGCTCAAACTCATGAACTGTGAGATCATGACCTGAGCTGAAATTGAGACTCAGACGCTAAACCGATGGAGTCACCCAAGGCTCACTTTAAATACATAAATAGGTTGAGAATGGAAGGATGGAAAAAGATATTCCATGCACATAGTAATGAAACCTAGCTGGGTAGCTATGCAGATATCAGACCAAATAGACTTTAAGTTGTAAAATTGTTATCGAAGATGTTGCAGGACATATATTGAAAAAAGGGTCAATCCATCAGGAAGATAAAAAAAGTGTTAAGCAATACGTACATAGTAGCAAAGCCCCCACATTTTTAAAACAACCATTGAGGAGATAGTTCTATTATACTAGTTGGAGACCTCAATGCTCCCTTTTCAAGTAATGCATGAAACAACCAGACATCAATAATAAAAGAGTGAGCAACACTGTAAATCAGCTAGACTCAGGAGACATACAGAACACCGCATACAACAAAAACTCAGGAGTAGAAAGGAACTTGCTCAGTTTAAAAGAGTATTAAAGTTCCATGGCTAACCTCATACTCAACGGTGAACAACTGTAAACTTCCCGTTAATACCAAGAATAAAATAAGTGTGCCCCATTTTGCCATCACATAACAACACTGGAAGTTCTAACCAGAGAAAATACAGAGGAAAAATACCTACAGTATGTCAAAGTTGGAAAAGAAATCAAACTATTTCTACTCATAGTATACATGAGCTTATATTTTTAAATAAACAATCCTCAAATATTAGAATGAAGTCATTGAAGTTACAGAATACAGTATCAATACTCAAAATGGAGTTGTATTTCTTTTGTATAGTAGCAATCAACAAATGAAAACAATTCCATTTACAAGAGCAAGAAAACAAATGGGAATAAATTTAACCGAGGAAATGGAAGATTTATACACAGTGGAAATCACAAATTGCTGAAGAAAATTAAAATGAACACAAATAAATAAATGTGGAGATACCCTGTGTTTGTCACTCCATAAATGGGAGTCCTCCCCAGAGCAATATAAAGAGTAATGCAGTCCTCAGTAAAATCCTAACTGTTTTTTGGCCAAATGGGAATTCTGATTCTAAAACTCCTATTGAATTGGTAAGGATGCCACATAACCAAAATAAATGTGAGAAAGAGCAAAATTGGAGGACCTACAATTCCTGACATCAAACCTTACTACAAGTTTCCACTAATCAAAACTATAATTCCATCAGAGTCTAGAAATATAGATGAAAGTAATAGAACTGAGTGTCCACAAATAAACCCATATATCTATAATCCTTTCCTTTTTTACAAGTATGTCAAAAACAGACAATGGGAAAAGACTAGTCTTATAAATCGTACTGGCAACAACTGGATATCTGAGTGAGAATGAAACTACTTTGTACCATATAAGGAAATCAATTCAGAATTAATCAACGACTAAATGTAAGAGCTAAAGCTATAAAAGTCTTAAGTGAAAACATAAGGGCAAGTCTTTATGACCTTGGGGTTGGCAGTGGATTTTTACACATGATCCCAAAAGCAAAAGAGAAAAAGACAAAGTAGATAAATTGGTCATTGTCAGAATTAATCATGTCTGTGCACTGAAGGACATTATCACATAAGTGAAACAATTTACCAAATGGAAGGAAATAATTTGCCAGTCACATGTCTACTATAGGTCTGGAACCTAGAATACATTACATTATACATTAACATATAGAATACATGAAGAACATATACAAGTCAACAACCAAAATACAACTTAAAAAATGGTCAAAGGATATTAATAGACATTTCTCCATAGAAGACAAAGGAAATAAGCACATGAACAGATGTTCAGTGAAAGTAGTCATTAGTAAAATGTAAATCAAAACCACAATGAGAGATCATTTTACACCCACTAGGATGACTTGTAAAACAACAACAAAAAAGTGTTGGTTAAGAGGTAGAGAAATTAGAATCATGACACGTTGTGTTAAAATGTAGCTGCTGTGGAAAAGAATGTGGCATATTCTTAAAAAATTAAACCACTTGACCCAGTAATTCTGCTTCTAGGTATTTATATAACCAACAGAATTGAAAACAAATATACAAACACTAGTACTTGAAAGGTCATGGTAACTAATATTAGCCAAAGGTGGTAACAGTGAAATGACCATCAGTAGTTGAGTGAATATGGAATACTCTGCAGTCAGAAAAAAGGAAATGTACTACTGGTACATTCTATATCTTGGATGAACCCTAATAACAACATTATTCTAAGTGAAAGAAGGCAGATGCAAAATATCATATTATTGATCCCATTTCATTCACATGAAAAGACCCAATATTGGTAAATCCATAGAGACAAAGCATTAGTGGTTGCCAGGGACTGGGAAATAGGAAGCAACTGCTTAATGGGTAAAGGATTTCCTTTGGGGGTTATAAAAATGTTTTTGATCTAGATGGAGGTGATGTTTGTGCACCATTGTAAATGCACTAAATGCCACTGAATGGTACTTAAAAATGGCTAATTTTATGTTAACTGTAGCCCTTCAAAATTATCTTACAAGGAACAAGGAACATTCACTCTAGCCAAGTCAGTCTTTACACATCTGTGCTTCTCTAATTTTGTGTCAAATAAGAACACGTTCCCTGTCCACTCTGTCAGATGTGTTTTCCTTTCAGGGACGGTTGACATTCAGGGATGTGGCCATAGAATTCTCTCAGGAGGAGTGGGAGTGCCTGGACCCCGCTCAGAAGGCCTTGTACAGGGACGTGATGCTGGAGACCTACAAGAACCTGGTCTCCCTGGGTGAGGAAAACGTCTCTCCAGAAGTTGGTAATTACTTTTTATGTCTTTGCATTTTCTACTGAGATCCTCTTGATTTGATCATAAGAGTTTCAAATTCCTGTTCTTAAGGGGGTGATTGCTGCTGTTTTGATTGAGATGGAAAGTCTTTATAATGTGACACATGGATTCTAACTTTGTTTTCTTCAGAAGTTCTGCATTCATGCTTGTTTAGGTGGGAGGTGATGACCAGCACTGGGTGTTGTATGTAAGTGATGAATCACCAAACTCTACTACTGAAACCAATATTACACTATATGTTAACCAACTTGAATTTAAATCAAATCTGGGAGTCTGGGAAATAGGATTTAAAAACCCTTAAATTCTTACTAAAGTCAACTCTCATTGACATCTTTAGAGATAGGGCTAAGAGACAAGTTATTAAAGTTGAGGGGGAAAAGGAAACCTTACGGTGAATATATTTAAATCTCTGACTCTGTGGTCTTATCCTTGTGCTTTTGGTTTAGTCATTCTTGGAAAAGAACCAGATCTCTGCATTCCTACAATAATCCTTAATCATTGAGGCAGTTAGTTGATTAATTTTTGAAATATATTTCTACACCCACATAGAATGAATGTCTTTTCCTCTTTGCTGAACAAAGAGCTGGGAATGTGTTCTGGAAGATCAAAGCAGATCATGTTCTGTTTTTCTTTATAAATGGAAATCTATTCTTGAGCTGAATATTATCTCTGTTTTGGAAGAAGGGAAAGAGCCCTGGACTGTGGATAGTGAAGTGAATATGGGGGGACATCCAGACAGGTGGGAACATACTGTGATGTGAACACAAGTCAGAGCTCAGATGGGCACAGAGTAAGTGGCTCCAGTAAATATTGTTTGGGAAGGATCTGTGGGAAAATACAAGTTTATTTCTTAGGAGCTTTCCAAAGAATTCCTCCCCCCACCCCACACACTTCTCATTCTATTATTCAGATGAGTAAATCAAATATGTACAAGGTTAAACTCCAACTTCAAGGACCTACAACACATTTACCTGGCCCCTCTGACCATACTGGTTCTGAGGTTTGAGAGGGATGGAGATGGCTGTATCTAAGAAGTCCTTCCCCCAATCTCTTGGTTTTCATTCCATATAGGTCAGAGGTGAGGCCTCTGTAGTGCAGACCCCAGGACCAGTTCACTTTTCATTTCCATTTTGTATCCGTGGGAGAACTTCTCAGGACATAAACAAAATGTAATACCTGTCTAATAAAGTAGAGCTAAAATCTATCTTTCTTTCCTGGGCTCTCCCGGCTTCTTGAGGTCAGGCGCTTTTCCATTAATTTGGAGGAAGTCATGATGTGCATAATTCCAAAAAGTGAAATTCCAAAATTAGATGTAGTTTAAATATAGCACAGCTTACTGATATCTCTAGTTAGCTTTTCTATTGGAAAAACCTGTATCATTCCATAGATGTTTATTGTATTCTTGGTATATGGAAAATACTATATTGATATACATATATATTTTTTTTTTTTGTGGGCGGGGGAGGTTATTGTTTAAAGAACTCAAGACGCAACAACAATTTTTGTTTTGTTTTTAAGTAATCTCTGCACCCAGCGTGGGGTTTGATCTCACAACCCCAAGATCAAGGGTTGCATGCTCTACTGACTGAGCCAGCCAGGCATCCCTCTTATTTATTTATTTATTAAAAAAAAAATTTTTTTTTAAATAGTTTTATTTATTTCTAGGAGAGAGAGAGACAGCGTGAGCAGGGGAGGGTCAGAGAGAGAGGGAGTCACAGACTGAAACAGGCTCCAGGCTCTGAGCGTCAGCACAGAGCCCAACGCGGGGCTCGAACCCACGAACTGCGAGATCATGACCTAAGCAAAAGTCGGATGCTTAACCAACTAAGCCACCCAGGCGCCCCCCAAAAATTTTTTTTTTGGCATTTATTTACTTTTGGGAGAGAGAGAGGGAGGGGCAGAGAGAGAGAGGGAACACAGATTCGAAGCAGGCTCCAGGCTCTGAGCTGTCAGCCCAGAGTCTAGCGCGGGGCTCAAACCCATGAACTGCAAGATCATGACCTGAGCTGAAGTCGGATGCTTAACCTACTGAGCTACACAGGTGCCCCTTTATTTTTTTGACTTTTTGATCCCGTCACCCATTTCTGCCACTGCTTCCTCAACTTCCTGCCTCTTCGATCCACAGATATGTTCTCTGTATCTAAGAGGGGTTGTTTTGTTTTGTAAAAATTCCATGTATAAAAGAAATCATACTGTATTGGTCTTTGACTCATTCTACTTAGCACAGTGCCCTCAAGGTCTATCTCTGTTACCACAAATGGGAAGATTCTTTTCTTTTTTATGGCTGGATAATATTGTGTTGTATACACACATCTTTATCCATTCACCCATCAGTGGACACTTAGATTGTGTCTGTTTCTTAGCAATTGTAAATAGTGCTACAGTGAACATTAGAATGCTTCTATCTTTTTGAGTTAGTATTTTTGTTTTCTTCAGATAAATAATCAAAAGTAGAATTAGTGAATCACACAGTAGTGTGTGGCCACACCAGTTTTTGCTCCCACCAATAGTGCACAAATTCTCCACCCATCACCAGGACTTGTTATTTCTTGTCTTTTTGATAATTGCCATTCTAAGAGGTGTGAAGTGATATCTCACTGGGTTTTGATTTGCATTTCCTTGATGATGAATGATGTTGAGTATCTTTTCATGGTTCTGTTGGACATCTCTAAGTTTTTGGGAAATGTCTATTCAGATCTTTTGCCCATTTTAAAAATTTGATTATTTGAGCATTTTTTTGGCTATGTTTTGGATTATTAGCCCCTTAACAGATACATAATTTGCTAATATTTTCTCCTATTTAGTAGGTTGCCTTTACATTTTGTTGAAAAGTGTTCCTTTGCTGTTCAGACACTTTTTAGTTGATGTAGTCCCACTAACTTTTGCTTTTGTTGATTTTACTTTTGGTGTCAACAGTAAAAAAAAAAAAAAAATCATTCCTGAGACCTGTGTCAAGGAGCTCATTACCTCCTATCATACAGGAATTTTATGGTTTAAGGTCATAAGTTTAAGTCTTTAATCCATTGTGAGTTAATTGTTGTGTATGATGTCAGATAGTGGTGCAGTTTAACTCTTTTGCCTGTGGGAGTCCAGTTTTCCCAAACCATCTATTAAAAATATTGTGCTTTCCCCATTGTACAGTCATTTCTACTTTGTTGTAAATTAATTGACCATGTGTGTTTATTTCTGGGCTCTATTCTGTTCTGGTGATCTATGTGTCTATTAGACTTAAGCTAATACCATACTGTATTAAGTACCACAGATTTATAATCAGGGTGTTTGAAGTCAGGGAATGTGATGCTTCTAGCTTTGTTCTTCTTTCTCAAGATTCTTTGGGCATTTGGGGTCCATACACATTTAAGGATTTCTCTGTTTAGTGTGTAGGTTTTAACGTAGACATAAATTTTCAACTTATTTGTGTTAATACCAAGGAGTGTGATTGCTAGATCATATTTAAGAGTATGTTTAGTTTTGTGAGAACATGCAAACTGTCTTCCAAACAGGTGCACCATTTTGCATTCCCACCAGCAGTTCTTACTGGTTCACATTCTCATTAGTATTTGAGTTAGTGTTCTGGATTTTGGCCATTCACATAAATGTATAGTGATATCTCATTGTTATAACATATATTTACCTCAATTAAACTTATGCCTTTTTAAAAAAATTTTTATTTTTGAGAGAGATAGAGTTCGAGTTGGGTAGGGGTAGAGAGAGAGAGGGAGAGAGAGAGAGAGAGAGAGAAAGAATGAGAATCCGAATCCAAATCCAAAGCAGGCTCCAAGCTCAGAGCTCTCCACACAGAGCCCCACCTGGGATTCGAAACTATAAACCATGCAGTCATGACCTGAGTCAGAGTCGGACACTCAAACAACTGAGCCACCCAGGCACCCCTATCGCATTCTTTAAGCTGAGTATTTGTGATGTCTTGAGAACATATTTTTTGTTTAAGTTACTGCTTTAGTCAGAGAAATGTCGTTAACTTGATTTGTCATAGGCTTTTATTTAATGATGCATTATATTAGTGAGCTTGGTTGGCTCAGTTGGTTAAGCATCTGACTGGATTTTGTCTGAGGTCATGATATTACGGTTCCTGAGTTCGAGTCTGGCAGTGTTCAGTGTGGAGACTGATCGGTATTCTTTCTCTTCCTGCCCCTCCCCTATTCGCAAGCTCGCTCTCGCTATCTAAGTGAATAAACTTAAAAAAAAAAAATTCTTGTACATGTCTCCTGGAACAGGTATATATTATATAATTCTTTGGAGTGTATACCTGGAAATGGAATTAGTGAGATATTTAATTTGATAATTTTTAGAGCAAATGCTGAAATAGATGTAAGCCTCCAGTCTTCCTATAATACCATACTGTCTCCCTGTTGAATGGAGAGATTGTTACTTCATACCATAGTATAAATTCATATAGAATGAATACTTTTATGCCTAGTGCTAAATCAGTTCCTTTTTCTATGGTCAGGCTTTTAGCTTCTAACACAATCATTCCCATATATGTTAAAATACTAGTACTGTCCCCACATTTATAAAAAGAAAACTTAAAAACATTTTAAATAACAATAGTGTTTGAATACCATGCCAGAGAAACTTCCTGTGATAATTATAAAATACTATTTTGGTGTTAATTATGGAATTTAGTATAAAATATTTACATTCCAACTCTGTTTGATAGGGAGTCTTGCTGGATTTGCAATCAAGGAATTATCACCGATAGAAGACATTAATAAAGGAGAATTTTACCCCTTAGTGATATTGGAGAGAAATGAAAGTCATGGCATCAAGGATTTTGATCTCAAAGAAGTCTGGGAAAATATGCACAAGTTTGCGAGTCAATGGGGATATGATGCAAGAAATTATGAAGAAGTGCCTTGGACCCATAACAAAGATCTCATTTGTAGAGGAGATCATAAACCTAATCATTCCCCAGTTAATCTTCCTCAAAAGCAGTGTGTTTCTGTAAGAAATAATACATACCTGTTTTTCAAGGATGATGATCCATTTATAAGGAATTTGTTAAAACTGGACAATAACAGAAGCAGTGCTGGAAACCAATACATAAACTGCTTAGAAAATACAATTGGATTAAGTTTGCAGTCACACCTGGCAGAACAGCAGAGATTTCACAGTGAGGAGAACATGTATGAATGTAATCCAATTGAGAAGTCTGTCAGCAATGGTTCCTCAGTTTCACCACTTCAAGGAATTCCTCCCAGGACCCAAAACATTTGGAATAAATATAGAAAGATTTTTAAATATCATTTGTTACCTGCACAAGACAGGAAAGCATATGCTAGAGTAAAATCTTACAAATGTAATTACTGTGGGAAAGCTTTTAGCAAAAGCTCAAACCTCACAAGTCATGAAAGAATTCATTCTGGACAGAGACCTTACAAATGTAATGACTGTGGCAAAGCCTTTACAGAGCACTCACATCTTACTCAGCATAAGAAAATCCATACTGGAGAGAAACCTTACAAATGTAATGAGTGTGGTAAGGCTTTTATCCAGCGTTCACACCTTTGGAGTCATGAGAGAACTCATACTGGAGAGAAACCGTACAAATGTAATGAATGTGGCAGACCCTTTGCTGAGCGTTCAAGCCTTAATCAACATAAAAAAATCCATAGCGGAGAGAAACCTTACAAATGTAATGAGTGTAGTAGGGCATTTATCCAGCGTTCACACCTTTGGAGTCATGAGAGAACTCATACTGGAGAGAAACCGTACCAATGTAGTGAATGCAGCAAAGCCTTTGCTGAGCGTTCAAGCCTTACTCAACATAAAAAAATCCATAGTGGAGAGAAACCTTACAAATGTAATGAGTGTGGCAAAGCTTTTAAGCAGTGCTCACACCTCATTAGACATCAGAATATACATCCTGGAGAGAAGCCACACAAATGTGATGTGTGTGGCAAGGCTTTTATCCAAAGCTCTAGCCTTGTAGAACATCAGAAGACCCATACAGGAGAAAAACCGTATAAATGTAGTAAGTGTGGTAAAGCTTTTACCAGACGTTCACACCTCTGGGGTCATGAGAGAACTCATACTGGAGAGAAACCGTACAAATGTATTGATTGTGGCAAAGCCTTTGCTGAGCGCTCAAATCTTACTCAACACAGAAAAATCCATACTGGAGAGAAGCCTTACAAATGTAATGAGTGTGGCAAAGCGTTTACCCAATTTGCAAACCTTACTAGGCATCAGAAAATACACACTGGAGAGAAACCACACAAATGTAATGTGTGTGACAAGGCTTTTATCCAAAGTTCAAGCCTTTTGGAACATCAGAGAATTCATACAGGAGAAAAGCCTTATAAATGTAATAAGTGTGATAAGGCTTTTATCAAACGTTCACACCTTTGGGGTCATGAGAGAACTCATACTGGAGAGAAACCGTACAAATGCATTGAGTGTGGCAAAGCCTTTACGGAACGTTCACATCTTACTCAACATAAGAAAATTCATACTGGAGAGAAACCTTTTAAGTGTAATGAGTGTGACAAAGCTTTTACCCAATTTGCAAAACTTATTAGGCATCAGAAAATACATAGTAGAAAGAAAGAGTATAAACGTAATATGTGTGGCAGTGCTTTTATTCAAAGCTCAAGCTTTGGGGATCATCAAAGAACTCATAGGAGAAAGAAAACTTGCAAATAAAGTGAGCAAGTTTCAACACTTAACATCAGAGATTCCATCATGGAGACGAACCATGTGAAACTAATATATGTGGCAAAGCTTGTAACCAGGGTTAACACCTCCCTGATAACAGAATACAAATCTCTGAAAGAAAGCACACACAAGGAATGTATAGCAAGGCTTATCCAAAGCTTATTATACCTTGTGGAACATAATTTTTACTAGAGAGAAACCCTACAAATGTAAAGAGTGTGATCAGGTTCCTAAAATGTGTACAAATTTGGGGAGGGGGGTAATATAGGTAAGTGGGATTAAGATGTACAGACTTCTAGTGATAAAAAAAAATACAAAAAATGTACAACTTTGTGCTTTGTGGTCTTGAAAGCATTCACATAACATGGAAGTCATGCAAATGTGTCAAGGTCTTTACCTCAAGAAACACCAAAGAATTCATACCGGACAGAAACATTACACGTGTAATGAAGGTGATAATTTGTTTAGCCAATTTTCTCACTGGACTACAATTAAAAAATTCACACTAGGGGAAATTGTGTATTGTGAGGATTAACCAATTTTAGGTGTTAAATTCCACAGAAAATTAAAAATTATTTAAGAGAGACAAGATGTTGTGTGTCAATGGAACAAGTATGTTGTGGAAAGACCTAATCATCTGCTGTTTAAATATTTTATAGAGGGGACCCCGGGTGGCTCAGTCGGTTAAGCGTCTGACTTTGGCTCAGGTCATGATCTCACGTTTCGTGGGTTCGGGCCCCACCTCGGGCTCTGTGCTGACAGCTAGTGCAGAGCCTGGAGCCTGTTTTGGATTCTGTGTCTCCCTCTCTCTGACCCTCCCATGCTAATGCTGTCTCTATCTCTCAGAAATAAATAAAACAGTAAAAAAATTTTTTAAATATTATATAGAGATTTTATTTACCTCTCTACATCCAGTGTGGGGCTCAAACTCATAACCCTGAGAGCAGGAGTCTCATGCTCTTCCAGCTGAGCCAGCCAGGTACCTCTATGACGTTTTTTACTCAGTTACTTAAGTTTTCTTGACACTCCATTATTATTGATGACTTATAACCTCAAGTTTGGAATCCACTGATGTTATACTTCCATTACATGTGTTTCATTTGTCAACCATAGTGGTGGTCTCAGAATGCATTGGTAAGGTTAAAAGAATCTCTTTTATTAAGTGGGGCTTAGTCATTTCTTTATACCTTGGAAAAATCCATGATGCTAATTTTAAGATGCAGTATAGTATATATTTTGGAGCATAAGGAGTGGCAAGGAATGATTCTAAAAGCTATTATTTTTAATAGTGGTAAATTAAAAAAACATGGTAAGTTGCCATGTTCTCTGTGGCCACAGCCCCTTCTCTGGATTTATTGGTATGATTGACAGCCTTGGTTGATTACTACAGGAAAGGATTATGGTCTCAGATATGTGATCCTGAAACACTAGGTTGGGACATTGAGACCATGATATTTTCATGTGGGAATAATGGGTTACTTGGGATGGCATTTGTGTTAGAGAAACACAACAATGGTCTCTCCCTCTTTTGAAAGGTAATAGTATATCATAGATGAATAAAAATTACTCTTATTTTTGGAAACTGAAGAGAAAATTCTAGAGGATATTTAAATCAAAAGAACCAAAGTAGTAGTGCATAGGTGGCTCAGTATGTTGAGTGTCTGATTAAATTTTGGGTCAGAGTCATGGGATCACGTTCTACGTTGGGCTCTTCTCTGAGTGTAGAGTCTGCTTACAATTCTCTCTCTCTCTCTCCCCCCTTTTGCCTACTTGTGCTCTTTAAAAAAATAAATAAAATAAAAATAAATGACCCAAAAGTAGTATGTTTGTGAAAGATTTATTTGGCCTGCAGAATATTTTCTCTGCCATCTTTTTCTTTTACCTTCTGTTGTTTAGGCATGAATATGAAATTTGAAAAATTCCCCAATATACTTAGTTAATTATTAGAGAGAGAACACACAAGTGGGGAACAGTGTTAGAGGGAGAGGGAGAGAATCTTAGACGGGCTCCACTCTCGATGCAGAGCTGGCACAGGGCTCTATCCCAAGACCCTGGGGTGTTGGCCTGAGCAAAAATCAAGTCTGACACTCACCTGACTGAGCCACCCAACTGCTCCCCCTAATATTCTTATTAAATTGCATTATTAACGTGTAGCTAATTGAGAAAAACCTCCTGGGATTATTTCCATGTAAATAAGACAGAACCTAATAAAGAAAAGACTTGCCCGTCACCATTCATCCTTCTTGGTCATACAGCGGCCATCCTGCTGTAAGGAGACAGTGCTGAGTGCTGAGGGAGGTGCAACAGGCAGAGGACTGCCCAGGGGACCCACCCCATCCCACCCTGCATCTCTGGGCTTCCTGTTATGTGACAATGACAAACTACCTAGTTGTTTCAGCCACTGATTTCTAGGAGGTCTGTCACCCACAGATAAGAACTGTCCTACCTGACCAATAAGATTAATATTTTACTAAGAATAGAATAGAGCATTTGAGAGGGAATCTTGAGTTTAACATTTTGTAGCTAAGAAAAGCTGCAAAAACCTCATTCTTCACAGATGGGTTAGAGCTGTTTGGCACATGCTGCCTAATACAATGTAAACCAAAAAAATATAGCTAGAATTTATATGAATGTTCACAGTGCTAGGGTAGAATGTTAAAGGAGTAAAGAATTTGGTGCCACAAATGGAATCATATGGTTACTATGCATGTGAACTATTAGTCTCTGAGCTTATGCGCTGCAGTGACTTTCTACTTTGCACAGATAAAATGCATTCGCTCATTCTGCCAGTCAGGAAATATTCTAATCACTGATATTAGCAGGCAACAAAATTCCCTGTCTTCAAGTAGCTTATATTCTAAAAGGGGAAGTCTATAAGGACAAAATATGATAGTGGTAAGTACCATAAACATGTTCATGTACAGTGATATATCACAGGGTTTCCTAATTTAAACAATGTTTTCAGGCAATGCGCACAGGATGAAGTCATCTTTAGTCAGAACCACAGTGTATCGTGCAAATTCAAATGGGGAAGGGCAAGTGGGTGGAGAAAACAAGCAGAAAATTGCTGGAATGGGAACATATTTACAGTGGACCTGGAATATTCACAATTGATTTGTGGCTTGGTGAAATGTGATACTCAGTTTCTACTGGAGACATTTAAAAATTGGGACTCCTTCTGGTTAGGATTAAAAATTTTTATTAAGAAAACTCCCCAGAGTGCTTAAGATTATACGTGGTAGGTCCAAAACCATGATCTGTTTGGAGAATGAACAGCCCTATTTCTTAAATGGCAGCCTTACCACTATCGAGAGAACACGGCGGCGGGGTGGTGTAATGAATTAGTGGAAAGGTGGTAAATGCTGTTTGTCAAAACTGTCTAGGAAGTTGATCCTAGAACTTGTTAAGTAACATACTTTTCCTGTTGTCTACCTCTCTAGCCAGCCAGGGGTGTATTGCTTTTTCCATTTACAAAAGTGTAATATTTGGTAGGACTTTTACACCTCAGTTATATCTTCAATTTCAATATCATCGAATTTTTACCGTACAAGAAGATAGAGTACTTATGAATTGAATAGTAACAAAATCACATATTTCATGTTTTCCTACTAGTTCAAGACCTAGTAACTCCCAATTACTTCCAGTTTTACTCTTCCAGTTGAGACCAATTTGTGTCACCAATGCCTAATACTTTGACTATAAAATTGGCTTTTCAGTATGTTTCATATCCTAATTTTATACTAAATCAGATGTGATGAGAATGTGACTCTGTGCAAGGTCGGCAACCTTTTATGTCAGTAGTATAAAGTATTTACATATAGTAAATATTTTATTCTTTGTAAGCCATACTGTTTCAGTTACCACTCTTCCTGTGAGTCCTTATTGGGTCCAAAGTACCTAAATGTGAGTGTGGCTGCATTCCAGCTAAGCTTAAAAACAGATGGTGGCTGCACTTGGCTCATGTTCTGTAGGCGGCAGACTCCTGATCTACACAAAGGAATTAAGAGCACTAGAAGTAGCGACTATATGAGTAAATAAAAACGGTCTTTCCTATTTTTAAGCCTCTTTAAAATATAGTGGATGATAAGAAACTAATAGTCTAGCATATATGTGTATAGCATATGTTAAAGAAACCTAAATAGGGGTGCCTGGGTGGCTCAGTTGGTTAAGCATCCGACTTCGGCTCAGGTCATCTTCTCACGGTTTGTGGGTTCGTGTCCCGCGTCCGGCTCTGTGCTGACAGCTCAGAGCCTGGAGCCTGCTTCAGATTCTGTGTCTCCCTCTCTCTCTGATCCTCCCCTGCTCACGCTGTCTCTCTCTCCTAGAAATAAATAAAAATATTAAAAATCCCTAAAGGAAACACAAAAAATAGTTATAGCTAACACCAGTGAACCAAAGAAAAGGATTTAAAACAAAATAATCTGTAAAAGTTGAGTTATTTCAAAGAGGACAGAAAGAGAGGGAATAGAGCAAAGGAGACATTATAAAAGCAATAGCAAAGGAATTTAAATATATCTCTGTAAAAGGAAATAGTTCAAAGGCCCCACCAAAAAGCAAAACTTATCACTGGGTTGTTTTTTTTTGTTTTTTGAGTGAGAGAGAGGGAGAGTGAGAATCTCAAGCAGGTTCTGTGCTGTTAGTGTAGGCCAAACATGGGCTTCAATTTCAAGAGTCATGAATCGTGACCTGAACTGAATTCAAGAGTCTTACACCAATAACCATGTGAGCCAACCAGGCGCCCCTGACAGTTGGATTTTTTAAAGACAGACAACACAGTATTTCCTACAAGAAATTCACTTCACAAATTAAGGACACAAAGTAAAATCTTGGACAAAAGATAAACATAAATGTTATTAAAAATAGAGTAGCTATATCAAGATCAAAGTAATTTCAAGAGCAAATAATATGACCGAGGATCATGGAATCTGTTTCAGAATCATAAAGAGGTACATTCACCATAATGACGTGAAAACCCTAATTAATCTCTTTTGTTTTTGCTACACACAAATATGTAATCCAGTACTCCCGATATCCACGTCAGACACTAGGACCATGATGGTGGACAACCTTTGTTCACAAACACACACACATAAACATTACACATAGACGCAAACACACATGCATATACACAACATACACTCACACACACATACACTCCATAGCAAACTCACACTCATGCACACACTTGGGAAATTACAAGCACACACGATTACACACACTCGCCCATACTCCCACATTCCCAGTTCTGTGTATATAATTACATTCAGACTGCATGCACATATGTGTCTCGACAATGTGCTCACATGTGGGAAGCATACAGGAATCTCCTGTCCTTGGATGCCTCACAATGGGAGCACTTTTCACCTTTTTCACTTCTTCCATCCCTGCAACAACCCCCAAAGATGATATTTACCATGTGCAATATCTTCCAGCGCTGTGAGCATTGCCACTGCAGGGGCAGGTGAGGGCAGAGTTGGAAGGGTGCAGGCATGTGATGAGCAGGTCCAAATGAGGCTGGGGGGAGGGGGTTATAGGTCGTGTGCAGAGAGCATGGGAGTGTGAAGAATCAGATGCAAAACTCTTCAAAGGCATATGAGGCCATAATACTTGATAAACACAGATAGGTACAGAAAAGTAGGGGGGAAAGGCTAACACGAACCCTGAAGTATGGGATCAGAGTCAGGGACATCAGTATGAGTAC